AAATTAGCAGAAGAGAACACTTTTGGTGATAAAAGCTATGAGAGTGATTATAGCAGCAAGGAAAAGAATGAAAACCCTGTTAGGCCGAGACGAGCTAATGATGTTCAGAAAATAGGAGAATAAAGAGTGTTGCCATCAAATAACCGCATTTATATTCCCGTATTAAAAAGCACCATCACGACAGCGTTCTATCACAACAAGAAACTGCACGAAATACTAATTTCCCGACCTGCTCCATTACCCCTTGACATTTCCAAATTACCCAAAACGGACACTTTCACCCCCTACGAGAAGCACTGAACGAGATAATTAAAGGTATACGGGTGAACCGAATGCAGCTCTGCAAGCATTCAATCGCGCTAGACGTGATCTGGAATGGGGTGAACGTGCGATTTATAACATGATCGAAATCTGCTTAAATCCTGATAACGAAATCATTGGCGGAGAGGTTTTCGATCACTCCGATGAAACGAACGCGTTAGTCATAAAACATATGTATAGGATTATCTTTTTTGGATTATTCGCTTTATTTTTACTCAAATGATATTGTCGCTGCTTCGTGCGATACTATTCAACATTCTATTCGAAGTTCTGTGAGAGCTCATATTCATCACATCTTCCGGGTTCTATCAAATATCCTTTCTTTGCGAGAAGGCATTATTGAGTCGCTGTTGAAGTGAGCTAACTTGATTAGATCAAAATTTAGCATTCTCAGATATCATTATGATAAATCACACTCCAGAGAAAGGCCACCACAACTATGCAAAAACGATAAAAGCCAAATCATAACCTGAACATGTATGAAAAAGGTTCAATACCGATATGATTTCCTCAAAGAAGATTCAACCACTCACCACTGAATTCATTATCGATTGTACTATCGCTGAGCAATTTCCCTAGAACTTAAGAGCTGCAAACAAGAAATAATTTGTAGAAATGAAGAGAGCGAACGTGAAATGGGCACAAGAACTGCCGAACGTTTTTTGAAGGTTCGCTGCATGTTTCTAGCTGATATTATTATTATCATTATTCATCGATGCTTCAGATGCATTTCAATCGAAGAAGTTGAACATTTTCAAAACGATGCATGCCTTTGTCTTTGAGATGAAGCAATCTGAAATCAATCGAACAATTGCATATTGCAATGTTTATAATCTTAAAGGAGCTTCGTTACAAGCCAGGACTAGACTACAAGTATCGTTTGATGGAGAGTTTCA